AATATTATAATATTATTTTATTTCCGTAGTCTTTCAGCCACATGACACTCTGAATAATCTTTTTAAATTATCTTGGGCACCAGATTAATACTGAATCCTAGAAAAAGGAAAATAAATTCCAAATACTGATTTAAAGTTTTAGAGCAAAATCATGTGGAAGCTGGCAGATTCTGTACTGTTTTTGCTTACTGGAATGTCCAGTAGGGTGGAAGTGGAAATGAGAGATAATGCCTATAAGTAAACATTATTCATTGATACATACGTATTATTTAATACGAATTCTGAGATATTTTATATATTTCTGAGAAAATATGCCGAGTAAGATGGAATCACTACCTTTTGTAAATTAGCATTCACAAAAATCTTTTTCAGTTTGACAGTTAATTTTCTCTTGAATTTATTTTCTCTTTCCTCAGAGGATGTACTGAGTAAAGATGCTGGGGAATGTGCAATATGCCTTGAAGAACTGCAGCAGGGAGACACTATAGCACGATTGCCTTGTCTATGCATATATCATAAAGGGTAAGTTTATTTTTCTATTAACCAAGTTGATATTAGTGTAAAAGATGGTTATCACAGTTTTAGACATTATCCTTAGAGCTGTAAAGGTTTCATCTTCATTGAAACTCCCCCTCACCTGGTTTTTTTTTCTTTTTCCTGTCAGAACTAAAAGTTGAGCCCACATCTGTTTATATCAAAAAAGCTGCCATTTGTTAAGCATTTGCTGTGCCCCAGGCATTGTCCATAGCTTCTTAAATAAATTATCTCATGTAAGCCCTGTAACAACCTGATTTTACAATTGAAGGAAAATTTTACAATTGACCTCTTTCCAAGGTCACATGGCTAATAAACGGCAGAGCTGAGATTTCAGCCAAGTCTGTATCTCCTAAACCCATCTGGTTTCTCAGACAGTCTTGCTTTTGAAGCAACACAGGAAAAATTGTATGTAAAAAACTATTTAAGATAACCACTAAAAGAAGAGAAAAATTATAACTTCAAAACTAATAAAAGTAATAAGGTGGATTTTTATTTAAAGGCGGTGGGAAACAGAGAAAGCAGAATAAATAGCACAAAATAAGGAGGCAAAAATAAATCCAAATATATTTGTAAATATAATAAATCTAAATAGAACAAACTTACTAATTGAAAAACAGACTGAAACATTGAGACATGCTGTGATAAGCAACACATTTAAACATAAAGATGTGGAAAAATATGAAAGTAAGAGGGTAGAAAACTAGATCTAGCAAATACTAAGAGAAAACTAACAAAGCTAAATTAATGTCAAACAAAATAAACTTTACAGCAAAAAACATTTTTAGGGACAAAGAAGGTCACTATATAATGAAAAAGTATAATTCATGAAAAAGATATAATTTTATAATTCTATTTTTCTCTATACCTAATATCATGGTCTCAGAATATAGAACTATCAGAAGAATGGATAAATCCATCATCATAATGGGTAATTACAACACTTCTCATTGAGTCAAGCAGACACACACAAAATCAAGACTTAGAAAATTGAACAGTACAATTTAAAAGTTTGATCTGTGTCTTTTCAAGCATACATGGAGTCTTATAAAAATTGATCACATACTAGGCCATAAAGCAAATCTTAGCAAACTACAAAGAATTGTACCATGCAGAACACGTTCTCTGACCACCGTTAGATGTCAGTAATTACAAAGATAAATAATCCCCATATGTACTTCTAAATAACTTGTGGATCAAAGAAGAAACCATATAGAACTTTGAAAATAGTGGGAACTGAATAATAATGAAAATATCTACCTATTTAAACTTTTTGAGATGTACCTAGAGTGATCCTTGGAAGAAAACTTATAGCCTTAAATGTTAGTGTTGACTGGAAAGAAAAGCTGGAAATCAATAAGCAAAGCTTCTTAAAATACTAGGAAAATAAGCTGGTAATGGGGAACCCAAGGTCGAGAAGGGTAGAGTGTTTACATGTCGTGGGGTTGGCAACCAATGTCAGAAAACGATATGTATATTAATTCTTTAATGAGAAACTAATTTGCTCTGTAAACCTCCACCTAAAGTACAATTAAAAAACTAAGGAATACATCTAACCAGAGACATAAAAAACCCATATAAAGAAAACTACAAGACGCTCCTGCAAAAAACCAAAAGAGGAGAGCCAGCATGGTGTTACAGACAGAAGCATCATGCTGTCCCTCCACAGCAAAGACCCAAAAAACTGAGTAAAACGAGAGACAGACGTCAATCTTGGAACGTTAAGCATCAAATGAAGAGATAAAGAACTCAACCAAGCACCGAATGGAATAAGAAACTAATGGAGAACAGAGAGCGAGGAGAGTTACAAGCTGAGGTCCCCTATCAGCTAACACAGCGCAGATCCACCATCTTGGACTCTGGTCAGAGATCAGCGGACAGGGAGTATAGGAAAGCAGATTCACGGACCTCCTAGGAGGAAACAGAGCACCCAGTAACCAGCGAGACACTCTTTCCCACCCCCAACCCTGCCTCCCCCCTGCTTGGCCTTTGCCACTTCCTGGCTGACCAATCCATCGTTTCCTGGTGGGCCAGGTCACTGCTTCCCGGCGGGCTACGACCGTAGCACAGGAGGTGCTGGTTCCATGCCACGCGGATTTGCTCTGCCCGCACTGGCTGGCTTCTTCACTGCCATTCTTCGTTGCTGGTGTTGCTTTTTTCAGCCTCTTTTGTTTTTTTCCCTGCCTCTCATCATCTCCTCCCGCCTTTCGCTCTAACACCTGACTCCGTGTGCCATCTTTGCTCCTTCTTGACAGGCTGTTAAGCACTGCTCAGCTGGGAAACTGCTTCCCTGGTTTCCACTGCCATGCTGGTAGGATCCCTGGGGGCTTTTTTTTGTTGTTGTTCATTTATTTTCTGTTTTTTACTTTCTTCATTTCTCTGTTTCTTATCTCTTTCTACTTAACTTCGTTTCCTGTCTCCTGAACTCCTGGCGCTGTGTATCATCTCCACCCATTCTAACCGGGCTGTACTGCACAGCTTGGGAGCCACTTCCCCAGTCTTTGTAGCCGTGTTGGTGGGATGCCTAAAGGCATTTTTTGTTTCAATTTTCTTTTTGTTTTTCTTCATTTCTCGGTTTCCTATCTCTCCACTCCAGTGGCAAGCTCCCTCAGCATATTTTTTTGCACCTGTTTCTCTCTCCTCTTTTCCATACCCAGTCTAGCTCCACACATCACAACTTCCCCCTCCCTCCTGCCTCTCTGCACCATGTGCTGAACATTGCACTCCCGAGAAGCACAGGCACACCCTGTTGGCACCCGCCCTGCACTGACCACCAGCACACCTTGTCGGCCCCAGTATGTGCCACGAACAACCCATTCCAGCCCCTCCCCTTCAGCTGGACCTGCCCTAGTGCACCATAGCTGAGTGACAGGCCATGCCTTTTGGACAAGGAGGTGAAAAATATAGTGTCTTCAGAAGAGCAAACAAAAAGAACACGCAGCCCACCTGCTCAGACATAACCAAATAAAACAAAAAGCGGGACAAAACAAATCTACAATCAATAATTCATTGCAATGGCCATACAGAACTGATAGATTATACTCACGGTTAAGGGGTTTAATTACAAGGAAAGTAACAGTTAACAATTCAGGCTCAGGAACACTCAGGATACAGTTCTTCCATCAGGATAGCCTCTCCCTGGCTCTCAGTCTCTGCCCAAAGGCACTTAACTTTCTTTCTTTGTGGGCTGGGAACCCACCATGCCATCTCCTGCTGCTGGTCTCTCCTTCCTTGGTGGTAGTGGGCTCCTCCTCCCTGCTGTGGAATTGACTCTCTTTTAAGGCAAAACTGACAATCCGCTTGGTAGGCCCCAATTACCCTATCACACAGTCACCTGGGTGGGAGTTACAAGACCATGGCTAGAAAGGCCACACAACAGAAGTAATTGCACTGGACCAGGGCACCTCTAGAGCCAGGTGAATAGGATGGAGGGTAGGCTGAAAATAGAGTCATAAGCCAAACAGGGGATGTTTATTTAGAGAACTTAAGTCTTAATGGCAACAGAAATCAGTTTATATATTTGAAAGAATATCATGAATGAGGTACTTTACCTTCTTCCCTTTTAATTTCATCCATCATTTACACCTACCAAACCAATCTTTCAGGATTTAATCATAAATATTAATTTTGCCCTTGAGCGTATTAGCCATGCCTTCCAGCTCTGTGGCATATGCAAATTTGAGATGTGTCATCAGTGAAAATGTTGAACAGTGAATCCTGCTTGAGTAATTTACTAGCTCTTGTGCAAGTTACTTAACCTTTCAAGACCGTGATTTTATTCATCTGTCAAAGCACTGTGGAATAGAACATTCTGCAGTGATGGAAATGTTCTGTCTGTGCAGTCCAGTAGAGTAGCTACTAACCATATGGCTTTCGAGCACTTGAAATGTGGCTAGTGCAACTAAGACTCTTAATTTTTTCTTTAGTTTTAATGAATTTAAACTTAAATAGCCACACTTTGCTCGTGGCTACTGTATTGGACAGCGCAGGTCTTGAATGAGGTAATTGTACCCACCCTAATATTTAGCTTATAATTAATTAAGACCATGAAATGCTTTATAAATTCAAGTGGATGGTGGTATATTTATTGCAGGGTGGGACAGAATTAAATATTCAAGAATCACTTATATAAATAATGGTCTTTCAAAAATGTGATACATCATTATCAAGGATTAAAATTTTAAAGCTGCTTTTAGTTACATCTATTAGTGGCATGAACCAGAAGATATTTGCATAAATGAATAACTATTTTGAAGAAAGAAATACTTGTCCAATTTTGTTATTTAATTTTAAATATTGGTAAAGTGATATTTCTTTAGATACTATTTTGGTAATGGTTCTGTTTAAAGTATTTTATAACATAGTTTTACAAAGATTCTTTAACTGCTTAGAATAATCAAAGTAAAATAAACATACCCTTTTACTTAATTTATGCCAAGTATGATAATAAAATGTTGAAGTTTTTCTACAAAGTTATGCTGAAGTCAGGAAGTAAGCATTTTTATTATGACTGTCATGGTATAAATAAACAAATGTTTCAGTTTTTCTCATTTTGTTCCTTTCTAGCTGCATAGATGAATGGTTTGAAGTAAATAGATCTTGCCCTGAGCACCCTTCAGATTAAGCATCAGATTCCTGTTTTATAGGTAATTCTTCCTTTTCCTGTTTACATTGCTTTTTAAAGTGTTATGTTGAATTACAGGTTCTCAGGCATCATTTTTATTATTCATTTATTCATTAAGGCTTTTGTGTGTACGCCCTGGACATTATGTTAAACTACTGTATAAAAACTCATATAAAAAAAATAAATTAAAAACTATTTTCTTGATTCCTGAACAGTCATATATTGAGTAACTTCTATATTCTAGGTACTTTCAAACATACTAGCTTATTTAATTTTAATGTAATGCTTAAAAAACCCAACGAAGTACATATTATGACCCCATCTTAGCAGTGAGAAACCTGAGGGTCACAGTAGTTAAGTTCCATGACTTTAAGCAGGAAGTTACACCAAGAGACCAAGGTCATAGTTAGTAAATGGAATTTATTATACATTTTATTAACATTTATATAGCATTATTATGTGCCAGTCATTGTTATAAGCATTTTACATCTGTTAACTCATTTGTTATACCAACCCTTTGAACTCAATACTCTTACTGTTCCTTTATACATATGAGGAATTTAAGTCACAAGTTAAGAAACTTGACTTGCCAAGGTCACATAACTAGTTCATGGAACTGTTTTGCTATTATTAGGTAGGAACTAGGAGCATTTTCTTCTAAAAGTTGTGTCATAGCTTTATTCATTCAATTAAATCATTCACCTTTGTATAAAAACCAAACCAAATCCGTTGCCATTGAATCGATTCTGACTCATGGATACTCAGCATATAATGAAGTGCCTATCATATAGTAGGCCCCCCCAAAAAATGAATTTTAAAACTGAATAAAAATTTGTTTTGCTTTCCTGATTTAGCTTATTCATGGTATTGCATTATCTGAAAATGTTTACTGAACTGAATGATAACCTCACTTGGGTATTGCTTTTTTTCATAGTTCTGTGAAGCAAATTAAATGGCATTGTTTAGCTTTGAAAAATAAAGATTAACTTAATTGCTGTCTTCAAATATATGGAAAGTTTTTATGAGACCATTGCAGAAATGACGTAAAGCATTGGATTCTTACATCAAGGCAGAACATTTTGCCAATCCAGGTATTATTTCAGAAGGAGTTAGAGCCTCTATCTTCAGAGACTCACAAGACAGTCACAGACACCAGTCTTTCCTGGATGCCGAAGACCAAAGGCAGGAAACTAGATCATATGATACCCTGAGGTCTAGTCCTGTACTAAGGCTCTCTCCTGGTAACCCAAAGGTCGGCAGTTCAAACCTACTAGTGGCTTCAAGGAAGAAAGACCTGTTGACCTGCTCCTGTACAGATTACAGCCTAGGAAACCCTGTGGGGCAGTCCCACTCTGTCATACAGGGTGGCTGTAGTGGGAATTGACTTGATGACACACAACACACAGCCCTGTACTGTTCCCCATTTCCTTTCCTTTTACTCCTGGTCTTGAATTTGAGAATGTAGGTATTAAAGTAAAAACACATTCAAGAAATTCTTTTGCTCCGTTAATGAGGATAATTTAAGAGCAGCAGATTAGAATATTGACGGAGATTTGAATAACTTAATAGCAGCTGTAGCAACTGAACTGAGAGCTGCAAATTAAATGTGTGTGAAATGTGAAAGCCTTGGGGAATGGGAAGCTAGTAAGACTCTCAGCCTTTGACCTTTTACTGTGAAGTTACTCAGATCAGACCTTGATACATTAAAAAGAAAAGTGAATTGGGGTAAAATTGCTGTGCAGAAGTGTAGTGATGGAATGGTATTCTGAGTATATGTGCATGTATGTTTTTATTTCACTATGAAAAAAGTTTTTTGAAGAGGAGGATGCTTTAGAATGATTGCCTTCAATGACATCTGTGTCTGGGCCAAAAAGTAAAATGACAGCTAAAATTATAGAAGCTTTTTAAGACAAGTGCTAAAAAACAATATTAATAAAATGAAATTTTTATTTTAGTACCTTATGTGCCAAGGTAATATATTTAAATCCTTCACCTATAAGGAAAATTTGTCTTTTAGAGTCAATAAACTTTTGTGTGAGATGGAATTTTAGGGTATATATATATTTTTTTATGATCTAATCAGCTAAAATTTTTCCTGTAATATTACAATGAGCTTCTGGGATCTATAGAGCGTATATCTCATCTCATAGTCAATAGGCATGTCTGTGGGTCTTAAACAGCATTTCAGCTTCCTTCTCTTACATACCAATTTTGTCTTCTTGTTTTGTTTTTATATAGAACCTGAATTTGAAACTAGCCTAGTATATGAGATAGTACATGTTGTCTACAGAAATCTGAACCAATGAGATATATCTCCGTGGGTCTTGAAAAGTCATTTTTAGCAACTTGTAGGCATGGAGTATCTTGACTCACATTTTTGTTTCTGTTCTGGCTGCTTGCTCTTATATGCTACGTGATAAATTCTTCCTGTCCCTTTTGCTGTCCCAGATCAAAAGTGTATGCATTTGAAGAGGATTCATTGTTGTTAAAACACTGGGAAAAAAAGGAAGAAGAAGAAAAGCAATGTATAGCAGCAAAACCTAGCATTTCTGGTATCCTTAAGCATAAAAATTTAATAATCAACCCAAAATAGGGATACATGAATATCTAAGGTCTTGATTAGTTACTTTTTACAATTTTTTAATTTGGAGTGTTTAGTTATTGGGGAGAGATTAATAAATTGATGTGAGTATATATGTTTGCATATGTGCATATGTATTTAAAATGCTGGTTTCTGTACTCTGGTGTAGTCTTTGTTGTGGAGGGGGAATGACTTACACATTGGCTATTTGTGACTGTTTACTATTTTAAGCTTTAATTGTTCCTTTTGTGTTCTTGATATGTTCTTCTGCATAGTTCGAATTTTATGAGTTTTTAGAATAGTTAAGAGAATGGACATTTACAGTAACTGAAGAAATGCTTATGGGGAAATGGATGCTGTATTTTGATTTATATTATTATTATGGGTCACTGTTTAAAACTAAATATATCTATTTTTAAACAGGTTTTCTTGTCTTTTCGAGATGCTTGAAAAACCTAGAGGATATGAGGATCTGTCTCTGGAAAAATAAAAATGCAGGCATACTCAGCCAGAAATCTGAGTTCTGTTGAGACTCCAAAATACAGAGATGGACAATCATACAGAAAAAAAGAAAATCCTGCTGAAAAGAGGACAGTTCCCACATAACTCAGTGTACCAAACATGCATATAAAGGACACACACAGGGATTTTGAATATGCTGCACATCCCTTAGTAGTCATCTACGTAGGTAATACTGATAAACATTTTGTATTCAGACGCCAAAGTTAACTTGATTTAAAAGTTGATTTACTTTTTATTAAGTTCTCTAGAGCTGCACAACTAGTTGTTTTTTGATTTGTTTTTTCATTTGGGGTTTGTTTTATGTTCCCCATTTTGTGCATTCATCTATTCTTAAATTGAAAACTACATAATTTGCTTCTTTTAAAGTCTTAAATGTGAAACTAAGAAGTGTAATCAAGCAGTAAAACATTCTCTGAATGCAGACCATGATCTCAAGTTCTTCCATTTTTCCCCTAAGAGTGGAAAACAGATTGATTCTACATAGGAAAGCTAAAATATGTTAATATTTTTTAAATTAAAGGTTTAACATTATCAGAGTGCAGTTCAAAGAGTAAATCAAGTTACATAATTGCGTTTTAATTAATTAAATCTAGAATTGTTAATTACAGTTTATTAAATACATTGTTTCCTCTTGAAACTGCTCAACAGCTAATCAGCAGTGAATCATCTTGCAGCTATGCAACTTTTTAAAAAATACAAATTACCAATTTTAAGTGCTGCCAGCTACAATAACTTTGTTTTAACGGGTATTTTTTGTTTATTCTTTTCATGTAATTATTTTATTGTGCTTTGCATCTCCAGGAAGTTTTTCCACATTTGGGTAAAATGTTTAGAAGGTTCTGAACTTAATAACTTACGAAAAGAGTAAAGTAAAATTTTCTGGAGTGGAACTTGGGATAATTTAAGGGACATTTTATATACTTTTAAAAGTCACAGTTTAATTGGGATGCCAGATTTATAGCAATTTGCATCTTTAATTTTCCAGATAATCTGGAGGTTAGCATTTGATAAATGATTTTTTTAAAGCAAATATGAAGATTTTGTTAATTTATAATTTATTAATGTGTTATTACTGTAATTAAAATTGTTATTCTACAGCAACTTCTAAATTCAGTCTTGTGTAGAAAGAAGTGTATTAAGAGAAATTATGTGAATAAATATTCCCACAAAATACATCTGAATGGTTAAAAACAACAACAACTGGAAGAGAGCTATCAAGGCTACAATAGTGAATGTCTTTTTTTTTAATATCAAAAATACCTACACGTAGATTTTGTGTTTTCAACATAAGGGAAAATGTTAAGAGTGAATATTTAGGTAGTGCACTTTACCTGGTGTAATTGAAAGTTGCACAGTACTGTTTCTATTTTAAGCTTTCTTCAATGTCTTTAAGTATTTGCTTTTCTATTTAATGCTGCTACTCTTATTCTTAATTCTGTAGGTTTTTTTCCCCTACTCTATTGCTTCCATTTCATATTTTTTAAAAGGGCAAATACACGAGCAACGGCTGCTACCCAGAAAAACTTGTGTATTAAAACAAAAGTGTTTTTAATTGATTTCTGTATAATTCTAGGCCAGATAACATTTTTCCTAACGTTATGCTATGAATGCCTTTTGTGATGCTGCGGTTGATAAAAGAATTCAAAACCTCCATTGTAACATCTGACAGCACAGTTTCCTAGGTGCTTTTTAAACTAGTTATGAAAAATATTCTTAATTTTTTTCTGCTGTCACAAAATCTTAATTTGAATTTATTTTATCTCATGTTTTTAATTTTATAAGCTCTCACCTCCTAAGAAAAACCTCTTAGAATGTGAATAACCCATTTGTTTTCTACTACTGATATATTATGATAACAATTACTTTATTATATTCCATTCTTAAAGCTGTGGTAGTTAACTGCTCTGATTCTCCTGGAAGTTGCTTTTCTGATAAATTTACTTATTTACTTTTTAAAACCTATGGGCTTAAGTTCACTTTTTCTTCTTTATTCTATGCCATACTCTCACAATCTTACTAACTTGGCCTCTGTTTGTCCTTAAGGTTCTGTGCTTCAGCTGCTATAATGGACGCTCCTGTGGTTTTAAAAGAAAGTTCAGTGTTTGTCAGTGTCAAGTGCTACTTTATTATTATCTTTGTCTAGAACAGTGTTTATTTAAATCTGTTTATCATCGCAGTCCCTTTTTTGTTAAAATTTACATAAATTAGTGTTTTTACTTTAAGTTCAGTCTCCATCAATGACTTCCTAAAAAGAATAACTTAAATGTAGAAAATGGTGTTTTTAAAGCCCAGCTGCTCCAGTTTTTATTCAAAATGAAAGTTGTTATTCTAGAAAATATTGTAAGTAATATTCTACATAATGTCACTTACAATATTTATAAATCTATACGTAAAAACTGAATAGGATATGTAGGACATAAAATCACGTTAGGTATTTAAATGTTCAGCTGAAAACTACTGACAACTAAATATTCTGGAGACAAAGATTGAAAGCCTAGGTTATCAAGTTGGTTATAGCTTTCTAGGACCTTTGTAAATACTCGTTTTTCAAATGATACCATCTTGCATATATAGAAAGCAGTATGTCCTGAGATTTCACTTCAGTGCCACTCTTTTGTCCATAATGGATTGAATGCCAATTTTGACTCCTCATCTTACTCTGATCTGGCTCTCCCCCAACCCCATCAGATGTTTAACAGAAGATAAAATTACTCTGTCTTACTTTTGGCTCTTTGCCAGAAAATAGACTAAGCATAGTCTTAATATCTGTTTTTCAGATCTGGTTATAAATCAGATTATAGATCGTGTTTTAAGAGCATTGTTTGTGATTGAAGTATAAATAATGGTTTCTCTAATTTTTTTTGTGATAGCCAAAACAACATTAAAAAAATTATATTGTTAACTGTTGCATAATATGTAAATTTTGGTTTCTTATTGCAGCTGTTATATTTCTTTTAAATGTTATACAGTTATCTCAATTTTCACCTACTAGACACTTTACTGGAATGTCACTCAAAAATATGCCTGTGGAGTACTGTCAGCTATCTGCAGTATGTATTTTAAAAAGATCTTCATTTAAATGAGTTAATGAAAATGGCAGATCCTCTTTCAAAGCTTATTTGACTCAGCCATGTTTCTAAGTTTGGGTATAATAAAGTTTAACAGCAGTCATTTAAATTAATGTAATAAGATACAACATGGGGATATTTCTTTAAAAGAAAAAGATTATAAATTTAATGTGAATGTTACCTAATTTTATTTATTAACTTGGAGAGTGGAAGTTTCCTAACAATAAGCTGTATATGAACAAAGCATGAAACTAGTTTTTTAAATTCAAGAATAATTGATTTTACTATCTACTACTATTGAATTGACATCCACACTGTGCGTTGATAAAAATATCCAAATTATCTTATTCTTTCACAGAGGACGTTTCCATATAAATCAGGTTATTAGAAACTATGTAAAACGACATAGAGGTAAATGGTGCATATTAAATATGAGTACAGTTTATTAGTTGCTGGAAGTCTTGTATGTAGTTCATATGGGCCATTTTCTTGAAATTTGATTTATCCTGAGGAGAACTCAGTATATGTTGACAATGGGTAGTTGAATGTGAAGTGTCTCTTATTCTTGTATATTTTCTTGGTTTTGAAAAAAAAAATCCTAGCATGCCAATATTTTGTCTTTGGCCCATTCCCTTTTCTCCTGAAGTATGTAGCTTCTGAATTTTTACTATGCTATGCGCCAGTAGTTAAGAGTTTGGCTGCTAACCAAAAAAGTTGGCAGTTAAAGTCCACCAGCCACTCCTTGGAAACCTTATGGGGCAGTTCTACTCTGTCCTATAGGGTCGCTATGAGTCAGAATTGACTCGACAGCAGTGGGTTTGTTTGTTTTGTTTTTTATGTTGTGAATAACAGTAGTTAATTGCCTGTTTACCATCTACTTTTCTTCTTTACCCAGATCTTCTCGTTCTGAAACTAAATTGCTGCTTGGTTTTCTTTAGAAGAAATTACTACTTGGTATATTCTTAGTATTTATATTCTTCTTATTCAGGAACAGCTGGTAAAACTTTTTTGATAATAAGTTATTCAAACAGTACTCTTGAGTATCATCTTCTCTGAATTCTGTGCTTAAGCTAGGAAACTGAATAGTTTTTAAATCAGAGAATTCCTGTATTGAATGACAAATACCTGATCTTCTACATCAGCCAATCCTTTGTGGAAGGTAAAAGACTTACGGCGTTGAAGGAAACCAGATATGTTAATATTAGTTTCAGTTGAAAGTGCAGCATTACTGTACTTAAGGGAGTTAGTGTATTTTCATATATTTAAGTCATCATTAATTTCAAACTAGTAACTAATAAAAAGGTAGATTTTTGACTGCTTGCTTATAGAGGGGCAAAAAGCAACATGGCATAAACACACATCCCAGAAATAAATGAAAAAAAAAATTTTAACTGATACTGTAGTACCTACTATGGAGCCCTGGTAGTGTAGCGGTTAAGAACTCGGCTGCTAACCAAAAGGTCGGCAGTTCGAATCCACCAGTGTCTCCTTAGAAACCCCATAGGGCAGTTCTACTCTGTCCTGTAGGGTTGCAATGAGTCAGAATCGACTCGTCGGCAATGGGTTTGGTTTTGGTTCTGGTAATACTTGTTAACCAATGTTGTGTTTCTTAGCTCTGCCATGAACTGTGAGGCATCTGTCAAGACTCCAAGTCTTGGTACCAGAGTAAGTTTTCCTATTAATAAATTCTCATGCCTTCTTTTCTGATCTGATATGTTGACATTGCTAAGTACTGATGACTTATGTTTGGTAAACTTACAGTTTCACCTGTATCCCATTACCAGTGAACCTGGTGCCAGCATCTTAAAAAGGTTTCACAAATAGTCAACAGCATTTTGAGCAGCTGTATGCATATAATACAGTAGCAGACCATATAGGGAGATACAAAGGAGATTTTGGAATTTGATGATGACATTGGTCTTTATTACAGCAATTCATTACATTTTATTTCTTTGCAGTGACTTTTATATGAATTTTATTGTTTGAAAATCATGATAATGATAGATATTTACCTCTATTGCTTTGTTCATGATTTCACAACTCTTATGTAATACTTCTTCATTTCTTCTATTAGAAGTGTTTTCCAGTTGAATAAGATACAAGATATCAAAAGCATCAATCATAAGGAATGTAGAAAATGTATTAGAAACAACTTGTATTGGTATGTTCTGAACTAAAATGGAGCAATTCGTTATTGATATTCTACTAAATAAAACTTCCAAATGATTTTGCCAAATTATCCCATTATTTATAAGTAGAAAATAAGAAAAGAATGCCTTCAAGGAAATTTGCCATGTCTGTCCTCTATCTAGAAGTAGACAATACATAACAATAAAACTCAGAAAATTCTGAATGCTGAAAAGTTACCATGAAATAACTGATGTTAGACAGAGCTTCTATATCTGTTTTTGCATACTCATTACCACAAAATTGAACCAAAAAATGTTAGTTAAAAATCTGTAATACCTTAAGAAGTGACTAGTTTATAGTGATAATGGAAAAAAAGGTCTTTTTCATTATCTTAACCATAAATAGAGATGTACTTTGAAATTTCTAATATAAAACCTATTTGTAAATTTTGAAATATAAATATGTTTGAAAAACTATTAAGTTTTGGGGAGGTGTTGTCTGCCAGTGCACAGTCACAACTTTTTAAGTTTAGGTTGAATTTAGTAACATTCCATTATGTTTTAGAAGAGGAGTAATAATTCAAGGAAAATAAATATTTTGAAGCACAATTTTCAAGATGTAAGAGGTATTGAGTTTTGTAATGTAGTGGTTACGAACATGGGTTCTGGAGCCAGACTGCCTGGGCTTACCCTCTCTGTGATGTTGGGCAAAATACTTAACCTTTCTGTGCTTCACCTTTTGTCTGTAAAAAAAGGTAACACTGCTTCCTAGTTCAAGGTTGTTGTGAGGATTAATTGTGAAGATATGTGTATGCAGCAGACACAGTAAGCACTTAATGTTTGCTGTTATTATCACAAATAAAAAGTGTCTTCCCATTTATGAACAATTTTTGTTATTGTATCCAACCATGAGATGTAGAAGTAGTACTGTCTGAGACCTTAACTGATACATGTTTCAGAAACTTAGATATAGTAGAGAACATTGTAGGTTCTGGTTTTCATTCTGTTGCTAAAGTGTAATGACCTTACTATTTCAGCAACTATACAGAAATAGTTGAATATAGACTAGAGAAATGAAAGATAGCTGACCTCTAGGAACTTAGTTTTTAGTGGGTGAAGCAAATAATTGAACCAACAAATGTAATACGAATAAATGCTATGATAGACGTAAATGTAGGGTATAGTGAGGGCACAGAAGAAGAGGGTCATTAAATTCAGACTCGGCAAAAGAATAATTATTAAACTAAGTATTTAAGAAAATATAGATCACAGCTCTAGGGGAAGAGGGTAAAGGGACATGTGAAGAGGGAAGTTTGGGAAGGATATTCCTAAGGCAGAAAGCTAGAATATACAAAGATATGAGAAAAGTCTTACACCCTTGGAGAATTGCTATGTAGAGAGAGGTTAAAAATCAAAATCAAACCCGTTGCCATCGAGTCAGTTCCAACTCATAGTGACCCTATAGGACAGGATAGAACTGCCCCATAGAGTTTCCAAGGAATGCCTGGTGGATTTGAACTGCTGACCTTTTGGTTAGCAGCTGTAGCACTTAACCACTACACCACCAGGGTTTCCATAGAGAAGTTAGCAGGTGACAAATCATGAAGGGATGTCTATGCCAAGCTAAGAAGTATGAACATTATTCTGAAAACTATGGCTGAAGGATTTTAAACAGGAAAAGAGACAATCAGATTTGCACTCCAGAAAGATCACTGGCAGCATGATATGGAGGATGTATTAGAGAGGAATGAGACTGGAGGCAAAAGGCCTATTAGAAAATATATAGTAATTTGAGCAAGAGGATGAGGGCCAGAACTGAAGCAGTGACAGTGGGGAAAGCAGGATGGAGGAACTTAAAAGATTTAGAGATTAGAATTAACTTATCTTGGTAGTCATTTGGATATGAGATGAGATAAGACAAGGATGCTTTCAACTTGAAAAGTTGAATCTCAAGGATAGAATGTCTACCTGTGGGAAGCTGATTATGCTAGAAGTATTTGTTGGAGAACCAGAAGTATAAGAACACCAATTCTAAAATGAAGGAGTTGAATCTTAAAATGGAAGGCATAACAGTGAGAGAATCCAGACAAAGACAGTTGGCAAGATGTGAGAAAGCAAAGAGTGTGTGTGTGTCTGTGTGCCAGGGGTTGAGAGGTTTCTAGATTCAAACATTGCCAACACTGTTAGAAGAGTCGTTAAGTGCATAATAGTTGGGGTACACTAAGCTAGTTTAAAGACATTTAGGCTGGATGTCTCCCTGACCTCCCTTCCATCCTTAGCTCCAGATGCCTGTGAGAGTGGGGCCATACTTTCCCAAGTTTGCTTCGTGAAAGGCTGAGATGTACCCTGAAGCATTTTTAAGGTTTTCTCTATGTTTCTCTTGTCCTATACCCTGTACATTATAATAGTCATAATGGCTAATAGTACTGCTTCTCAGATCTTTACAACAGAAGTAAGCTACTGTTGGAATCAGGGTCTTATAGTGGTGGACAGATGGAAGGAATGGTTCCTTCTGTCCTGATGGATGCTGCTGTTGGGATGGATTTGGTTAGGCTAAGCAGAAGGAGGGCCAGAAGAGGTTCTTGGAAGACTGGGTTATCACTGGCTGTATCACTGTCATCTTTGTTTAGACAGGAACAGAAAGATGAGGATTAGTAAACTTACGTTTAGTATCTGTCGAAGCACTAGAAACCTTGGACTATCTTTGTGGGTCATGGAGGCAACTCCCCCACAGATTCCCTAATCTAATACAAAATATCCATGGAAATACCAGTTCTTAGCTTTCACAAGTTTCTGCAAATTGGTACCAAGATGATTAGATAACTTAATAGACCAGGTATTCCCTCAAAGCAAAGCCTGTAAGAATAATAGAACCTTAACACCTGAAAGGAATATATCCTAAGATGTAAAAAAAAAAAAACCCTAAATTGATAAATATCATCACATGATTTATGATTTTCCACATAAAATGCAGTAAAAATAACACTGGTTTTCCTGCAGAACCTTAATTAGGCAATAAT